CCACCTGGTTCCAGGGTCAGTTTGCTGTGCACTACCTCGTCTTTAAATGATGCAAGGATAACAGCGCTCTGCTCCACCCCACCAGTTATAGTCTTATTCTCAAACTCCCCCCACCCAACCCGAACGTGCCTTCCTCCTTCCTTTTGCAATGGGGATGGTACAAAAAATAAAGAAGAAATCCCCCAGGAGCTGCACTTGCAGGGGAATTCTCCACTACCTCTTTGCAGCTTCAGACATTCAGACAAACCCCACCAGAAGAGGCTTTCTTGGGCGGTTTCCTGCCCACACATCTGATGTACCCAAAATAGGGTGAGAACATCAGCATTTCCACATCTGGCCAAACCCCAGCTGTTCACGAACAGCACCAAAATGCCATGACTCTCTCCGGGTGGTAAGAAAACAGGAGGTCAAGCGCTGAATGAATACGTACACACCGCTGTTACTGAAGCCAAGCTAGAACAGCAAAACCTTGTACCAGTCCCACTTCCAACTAGCGGTAACGCTGCTGTCCACTGGAACAGCACCTTGGGTCTAAAGGCTACTAGACTTCCATCACACGCCGCCACGTTCCCCGAGTCTGCGATTTTGCCTCGTGGATAGGAGTCAGGCCAAGGACCGTGTGCTTCCAGAAGCCACGTTCTCAAATGCTGAGATGCAGAGAAACTCCCAAAGCATTATTGATGTGGGTCTCATAAAATAACAAGCTGAGCATTTTAAAAACTAGCAAACTAAAGCCTCCTCGCTTCAATTGCTTATGTTTGATCTCTTTCCTATCCCTGGGTTCAATCTGACTTTCTGCTGTCGAACATATAGCACACTGGCTTCCTCTTCAGCGCTTCTATTAATGGTGTATACCCCGACCAAATGATCGAAGTGACCTTTTCTTATTTTCCACCACCCCTTTTCCATTTTTGCACCCTAATAGCAACAATTAAGCATTCACTTTTACAAAACAGAACATTACAGCCTGCCCACAAAGCAAATGTGGGGTTGGAAAGACTGATAAATAGGTGCCTTTTATCTGCTGAGGCTCAGGGCAGGAAAGCCCAAAGATTGCTGCTTTCACCATGCAGGCTGATAGGAGGAAGAAAGGAGAACTCATTGGCATTAAAGTGATATCCTCACAGCAAATTTTTAGGTAGTCGTTTCATTCTTCAGCGTTAATTTACTAGCACGGGAAATATTAGCATGAATTTGGACAACTGAGCCATTCCATTCAAAAAAAGAAAACTGCTGGTAGAGCGGCATATTAAAACTAATAGTTACTGCTTGGTGCTAACAATTCCCTACCTAAATGCAAGAAAAGAAAAACAATAAGTACATCTCCAATTTATATTTAAAAGGCAATCAATACTAGGAGTTTTAATGCACTACTGAATGACTCAATTGTGTCCAGTACACTTCTGTCCATTTCAAAAGGGGATTTATAGATTAAAATATTTTTACAGTGCCCTACAAATATTCAGACTAGACCATACTGATTTGTTTTAGACATTACCTCTTTCCTGATGTTATATGTAGTGTTTAAAGAAATCATGCAGATTTGTCTGAAAGCAAATAAAGACCTATTGCAACCTGCTCTGAACTTACTGGTTAAAGAACGATCAAATATGAATTATTCCAACTTGCAGTAACTAGACAGATTCAAAACACAGGTGGACAGAGACAGATAAAGATAAATTCACTTTATCCCCCTTTTTAAACCAGCTAAATGTCTTACAGCAGGGATGTTTGGAGGGGAAGGGACTAGAATAGTCACAGTACTAGTCATCAATTAGAGGGTGGCTGCTTTGTCTTAATTAAAGAAAGAAAAGTCTCACCTGGCTGATAATGTCAAAAGACATCCCACGCTTTTAACCAGGAAATCTAGGTTTATGCCCATCTTCGTGCAAAGTGATGCTCCCCGCGGCACCACTGAATGCCGATTCTTGCATCACCTCGGGGTGTGGTGCTACTTGGAGCAGCAGCACAATTATTTAGTGTTTGTGCGAGTTGCAAAAATGATCACTCCTGACCTTCCGAGTCAGGAGCTGTCTTGGGGACAGCGGGACTGGCAATCAAGCCAGCCCCCTGGGCACCAGTGCCAAGGCAGATAATGATATTCCCATTGGTCAGTTATGAGCTGGTTCGACGCTGCTTTCAAAACACAGGGCGATCCTCAAAGGCACGGAGCATACTAAGCAGCCACTGAAGTCAGCAGGGCAAACCCTAGACTTCAAGAGAATCAGAGAAAATCTGGGTTGAAAGAGACCTCAAGAGGTCATCTAGTCTAACCCCCTGATCCAACTACATCATCCCAGCCAAGGCTTTGTGTAGCCCGGTCTTAAAAACCTCCAAGGATGGAGAATCCACCACCTCTCTGGGTAACCTGCTCCAGTGTTTTACTACCCTCCTAGTGAGAAGGTTTTTCCTAATATCCAACTTAAACCTGCAACCGGAGCCCATTGCTCCTTGTTTTGTCATCTGCCCCCACCGAGACCAATCCAGCTCCTTCCTCTTTACAACCCCTCTTTAGGTAGTTAAAGGCTGCTATCAAATCCCCCCCTCAGTCTTCTCTTCTGCAGACTAAATAAACCCAGTTCCCTCAGCCTCTCCACACAGGTCCTGTCCCCCATCCTCTGAACCATTTTCGTCACTCTCTTCTGAACTCTCTCCAACTTAGCCACATCCTTTCTGTAGTGGGGGCCCCAAAACTGGACACAGGACTCCAGGTGTGGCCTCGCCAGTGCAGAATAGAAGGGAATAATTACTTCCCTCGATAGCTGGTCCAATTGCCCCTAGGTATGGCAGGAGCTCTGGACTTGGATATGAAACACCGGTTTGCAAGATCCATCCCACAATAAGAAGGCTCTTGCTCATATAAATGAATCTGATCCCATTCCATGGGAATCCCATGGCATTTTTGTGAAGACATACCTTGGGTGCATATTTTTTTATTTCTAGGGGGCTCCCTGCTCAGCCCATTTAGGGACATGTCTTACCCCAGGCATTGTATAAGATGGGCAGATGCCTAAAACAAAAGTGTGGATACCATTCATAGAGCCAGGACCCTCCAATTTAGGGTCCTGCCCACAACTATGGTATCTAAAGCCCTTAGGATCTAGCCCTTTGGCTTGGCACCTTAGTACCCTGTAAAATGGGAGTAAATGCCCTACTTCATAGGGGTGTGATAAGGATAACTACAGGCAACCCCCACTTAGCACTCTTAATTGGTTCCTGAAAAACCGAGCATTAAGTGAAACTAGAATTAAGCGAAACTGAAAGTTTTTGAAGATCCACGTTGGCGACCGCAAGTGTTTTTAATGACCCAAGATGGTGACCACGAGTTTTATAACGAAACTTGCTGAACACTAAGCGGAATCAGGTATCAATTTAAAATAAGCGTTATAGTGAAATAGCGCTACGCGGGGGTTACCTATACAGTCAAGGTTTCGAGGCACTGGGACACCAAGGTAACGGGTGACATACACTTATCTCAGACAAAGATGTGTCCATTTAGAACAGACATTCTTCTCCTGCTAATATTTATGTTTCATAAAATACTTTTCAGAGCTTTGATGTCATCTGGCAAGGACATTATCATCAGTGCATTTTACAGCCTCCTCGATAATAAGCTACGAAAAAATGCCATTGTGTTCACTGGATATTTAAGAATTTTGGAATGAGACCTTAACTGGAAGCGTTCCCAACGCATTCCCCACTTTAAATATACATATCAGCGAGACACGGCGCCTCCTTTAAGAGGCTCACGTTCCATAAAATAATGGGCATAATGAAATGCATATGCCATATACTGCATGAGATGATCAATCAGCATAAAAACGGAGAAGTTCCTTGTAACGACTTAGCATCATTGTTGAGCTATTCAGAGCCATCCTGTTTGACTGAACAGAGCAGAACAGGGGAAGACTGGGGAGGTAGGAAAATCACCAGCATACGCTGTAGGTTAGATGAGAGAAATTAAAACCCTTTTCTCCCTGACCAGGTATGCCAAAAACCACATTCATGCTGTGCTAACATTTGCTTATGCAGCATTAGACGTGCAATGAACAGAAGAGCTGAAGCGTGCATCCGCCCCCTAAAATCTGAACTTCTATGCCAGAGCTGGTCGTCTCAAAGAGAAACTGCCCATTGCCGGGTCTAAAGACATGTGAACAGGAACAGATATTTAGCTCTAACTCCCCAAAGACCTAACTATCCTGGCAGTGGAAGGTGTTTGCTTCCAATTCAGCCATTTTTTTTTAAACTGGACTTTGTCTCTCATCACTAATGTTTCATGCGCTCTAAAGAAAATGTCAAACAATGCCTCCTGGAAGCAGATCCCACATTTGAGGTGTTCTTTTGAAACCATTTCCACTCATTTATAATCACCATTGAGTTCAGTCAACTGAGGTCAAAGAAAGGGAGCATCCTTCCTGGGCCCGATCCCACGGGCGACTCGGTGCAGTCAACAGGAAC